ACAAGGAGGGCTGATGACATCCGTGGGGAATTCTACTCTCTTTCCATTCTTGTTTTACAAAAATATTTGAAGCTTCAATGTGTAGCCAAGAATTTTGAAACCCATATCTACGCAAAACTTTGAACACAACTGTTCATAGAAACTATTACTCATAATAGTCACACACACGGAGACCACATAGAAGGCCGTCAACTGATGGAGCACGAACAGTGCAATGCAAATACTGGGACACCATTCGGCTATGAAACGGAATGAAGTACTGACACCATTCTACAAATGGATGAGCCTTGAAAACGCTACAGCAGGTGGAAGAAGCCAAATGCAAACGCTGATACTGTCCAGTTCCCTTTACATGAAATGTTCCAAACAGGCAAGTCCCAAAAGACAGAAATAGCTCAATGGATCCCATGAGCGGAACACTGAAACCAAACACCTAAAGCCATGAATGTACAAATGAATGTACAAATGTGCTTTACACAGTTGATGTATATATGGATTACGATGAGTTGTATGAGCCCCTAATAAAATGATTTAAAAAAAACTTAATACCAAAAAATATGTCTTCCTTAAATGATTAAAAAAAAAAAAAAGCCCTCACGTAATTGTGACTCAGAGCCCCCTCTGTAGGGCTTCTGAAACTGTACATCCTGATTGAGGCAGATAGTCTCCTCTTTCTCCTAAGGAGCTACTCGTGGTTTTGAACCATCGACCTAGTGGTTATCAGCCCAACATTGTTTCCACAGCACCAGGAGAGGCGAGGAGAGAGGAAAATAGATTGCCACTACTAAGGAATATAGAGCTTCTTTTTAAGACGATAAAATGTTTTGTCTTTCCATTTCTTTTTCTTTTTCATATATATATTCTTTTTATTTTATTTTATTTATTTTTAAAAATATTTTATTAGGGGCTCATACAACTGTTATCACAATCCATACACACATCAATTGTGTAAAGCACATTTGTACATCATTCTCAAAACATTTTCTCTCCACTTAAACCCCCGGCATTAGGTCCTCATTTTCCCCTCCCTCCGGCTCCCCCCTCCCTCATGAGCCCTTGATAGTTTATAAATTGTTATTTTGTCATATCTTGCCCTGTCCGACGTCTCCCTTCACCCACTTTTCTGTTGTCCGTCCCCCAGGGAGGAGGTCACATATAGTTCCTTGTAATCAGTTCCCTGTCTTTCCATTTCTAAGTCACCAGTTCATAGGAATCACCAGTGTTCAACACTTCCTTTTGCAGGATCATGCCAGGGGAGTCTAGGGCAAACCTCTCCTGGAAGCATGGAATTTTACCATGAACGTAGTGGGGGATCCAGCAGGGGAATGCAAATGGCTTTCGGAGTGGGCGATTCCATGTCACCAGGAAAACATGTCTCTGGAGCAGAGATGCAGACACAACGCATCTCAAAGGAAAGGAGACGCTAACAACTATCACGCCTGCTACATACCCTCAAGGGCATGAACCAATACAGGGATCAGAGACTGAACAGACCCCCCAAAGACCTCATAGAGAGAGTCGGTTCCTCCCAGAGGCACTTCCCTCCAATTTGGGGAGTCGGGGACTGTGGGGAAAGGGAAAGGGAAGAGCATTCAATCTGGGGGCCAGAACTTCTGGGGTATGGTCTCCAGAATCCACGGTGGAGAGACCGCTCTAGAAATTTGGTATGAGTACCCAAATGGTTGTAGTGGAAAAAGCACTCAGTCCTTAAAACAGTGGTTCCCAACTTTCCTAATGCCGCAACCCTTTCATACAATTCCTCATGTTGTGGTGAACACCAACCATAACATTATTTTTGTTGCTACTACTTAGCTTTAATTTTACTACTGTTATGACCAAGAAAACCCTGTGAAAGGGTTGTTCGATCCCCAAAGAGGTCCCGACCCACAGGTTGAGAACTGCTGCTTTAAAATGAGATTCGGAGGACTTATTAAGGTAAAAAGAAAAGAGGGGGAAAAGGCCATGCAATGGTGGGAGATACCAGTTCACATGAAGGAGAACAGATACTCCAGTTTAGAGCTTCTAGCAGAGACAGACCTCCACTTGAACCTGGCTCAAGACAGCTATGCGAACAGAACTAGGGAATACGTGGTGGTTTAAGATCAGGAAAGGTGTGCATCAGGGTGGTGTCCTCTCACCGTCCTTATTCAACCTGCATGTTGAGCTGACCATCAGAGAATCGTGAAGGAAAACGTCGCACCAGACTTGAAGGAAGCTTTTTAGCAATGTGTGAGATGCAGACAACACTTGCTTGCTGAACAGGAAGAGGGCTTGAGGCACGTGCTGATGGAGATCAAGGATTGCAGCCTCCAGGATGGCTTACATCTCCATGTCAACCAGACCCAAATCCCCACAACTGGACCAATAGGTAACACCATGCATGACAACTGGAGAAAAGGTTGAAGTTGTCAAGAACTGTGTCTTGCTTAGATCCACAATCAGTGCTCATGGAAGCAGCAGTCAAGAGACCAAACGGCACATTGCTCTGGGCACATCTGATGCACAAGACGGTCCGTTAAAGCAGTGATGTTACCTTTGAACACTAAGGTGTGCCTGACCCAAGCCATGGTATTTTCAATCACTTCATATGCATGTGGACGTTGCCATTGAATAAGGAAGGCTGGAGAAGAATCAGTGTTAGAATTGCGGTGCTGGTGAAGACTGTGGAAAGCACGAGGGACTCCCACAAGGACAAGCCAGCCTGTCTTGGAAGAAGGATGGCCGGTGTGCTCCTCAGAGGCAAGGATGTCTTCCATACTTTGGACATGTTGCCAGGAGACGGCAGCCCCTGGACAAGGACATGGTGTCTGGTAGAGAGGCATGAAACAGAGGAAGGCTCCCAAGGAGATGGACTGATGTCGTGACTGCAACGACGGGCTCAAGCTGAGGAACAATCGTGAGGACGGCACGGACCGGGCAGTGTTTCCTTCCGGTGCCCCTGGGGCCGTGTGGGTGGGAGACCACTCAATGGCGTCTAACAAGAGCAGCAGCAACAGCAACAGAGACGGATATATTCCAGGGATACATAAATTGCACTATAGCACTTTGATTACCTGGTCTTTGATTGAC